CGGCCCCGGCCCGGCGGCTGAGGGGGAAAGGCGCCGCCTCAACGGGGCCGTGCCCGGCTGCAGCGGCGCGGAGGTTTCCCCGGCCGAGCGACGTTCGCTCGGCCAACAGAGCGGCTGCCGAAGAGCAGCCACCCCCAGCCGGCGCTGCGGGGCCTTGCGGCGCCTTCGTTCCGGTAATGCCGGTTTCAGTATTGGCCTTGGCCCTTTGGAAGGAGCGGGGCTTCGTGAATCTGGAAGGGAGGTTTCGGCTCGCGAAGCCTTCTCGCTAGGGTTGACCGTAAACGCCCGAAGCGTCGTGTTGAGGTTTGGCTTACGGAGGTGTTGTCTTTCTGCGTCTCTGGGGCTACGCCGGCCTGATGGTGCCTTTTGAGTACAGAGGAACAATACCGTGTCATAACCTCCGAGGACACAAAAATACCAAACCCCGGTTCACGGGTGTAAACGTATAGCGAGGAAGTGTCCGAGCACACCTTGGAGGAGTAGGCGGTGTTGCCTCGGCTGTGAGCTGCAGCACTGTGCTCCTGACAGCAGGGGTTGTGGATGGAGCCTCATCTTAATTGAATTGTTTGCTTTTTTGGACAGTGTAAGTCACACTGTATCATGTCAGCAGCACCTGCTCCGTTTCCTCTGTTAGAAATTCTGAAAAGACGATGTACACAATGATCTAGGATCTCGCTGCGGCTCCTGCACAGGAACGGTTAACTAAAACCATTACGTATGTCCAATGTTAATGTGACTTACAGCTCTGTTAGTAATTAGTACGTGCCCTCTGTCAGCAGCCTGTCGCACAGTTGGTGTCCACTGACTGACTCAATACACTGTCAGGATTTTTGCTGCGGGCAGGGGGTGTTACTGCTGTACCTGTGCGCTCAGGGTGTTCTTTCCTTCCAGCTTCGTCTCGGTGGTGAGGCACCGCTGGCACGCAGGTGAGCCCTTGCAGATGCCGCCCTGGGACGCCCAACGTGCCTGAGCTGTCAGCAGGCACCAGCGCGGGGAAGGGATGGGTGCAGAGGCACGTGCGCAGCTGCGATGGCAAGACTCAAGACTTGTCCTCTGACTGTTAGTACAGCCGTGCTCTTTTCCCTTTACAAGAATGATCAGAAATGTGAATTGTGTAGAATCCAAGGGGTGGAGGCTTATAAGTGCTCCAACTGATCTCATCTGGGTTCCCCAGACTTAATTTTTGTGTGATCAGTTACAACTTTTTGTCATACAAATAACTCCCCAGCCGGATGCTTGAATATTGTTGGACACCACCTTTTATGTAGCTTTCACATCAGCAAGAGAGAAAATTTTGGCCACAGGCAGACGGTGCACAACTCCCTGTCTCCATCTCAGGAGCGTAATCATCCTGAGTTTCTTGGCATGTCTGAGTACTTGTAAGTCAGTGGGAGATGGGAAAGAGCCAAAATCCAGAAACTTACAATTAAGAGAGGGAGAAAAAGCCCAAAGAATTAATATTGGTTCACTGACTGTGACCCTACGTGTTCAAGTATTTTGTGGTATTAGCAGCTCATTCTGACACTTGTGCTGAAATGGGTCCTGTGGTCAGCCTCCTGTCTTTGCTAAGTTTTTCTGTTTCCAGACAGGCTGCTGCTTTTTTTTTTTCCCCAAGTGATAATGTTGCATTACCTTCCCATTTAAATACTCACATGTTTATGCTAATCCCTCTTTTATACAGTGTAACTCAAAATGGGTTTTGTTTCAGGTATGCAAGTACATGAATTGGTTTCTATCCAATATGCTAGTTTAGATATACGTCTCACCTGCAGATTCATCAGTTTCGTTCTTTGTTGGTGATTTTTTTTGTGATCTTTATGCTGTTATCTAGTGTGTACTTAGAACATTTCACAGCACTTTTTTTATCTTGTACGAATCTTGATTTAAAAAATGTCTGTTGACCTGAATCAATAACCTAGATTTTGTGTGCAAACGTCCTTGGACTGATTGAGCAAGATTCCGTCTTTTGGGTCTCGTAAGTCCAAAGAGGAGGAGATGCCACCCAGTCAGCCTATGCTTGTGCTTCCTTTGATGCTAACGCCAGCAAAGCTCAACTAGTAAGGGGAAAAAACCTAACACAGCCACTACCGGTGAGTGTCTACATTGATTCTGCAATACTGCATTTTAACTGAGGCATGCATGAACCTGTCATGGTGCTGAGCTGCTGAAAGTTCCTCCTCATTGCCCTCCCATTGCCACAAGAGCATGTATGTAGGGGGTAGGGGGAAAGAAACCTGGGATAAACATGGGAATCCTGGGATAAATAAGGCAACTGTGATTTAATAAAGCTTGCAGTGCCAGGCTGTGTTAGATCACAACTGAATGGAGATGTTTAATATTCCATGTTCATTAACTTCTGTGAACTTTTTGTAGGGCTTAGCTCTTCTAAGGTTAATGGTTTGGATCTGTGTTTGAGAATTGAGTTTGAAGGCTGCTAAACTTAAAAAGCTGTTAACTTTCTAGTTTGTTTGTTGAACAAAGAAAATTCTTTTACTCCATTGCAGGTAAGAAAGCTGTACGCCTTTTCTTCTGGATAATAAAACTGGGCAAATATGTGGAATTAAACAGTTACACAGTATGTTGTCATGGATTTAGTGTGAACAAACCCCTACTAGCATTACCCCTTCTTGATGTGAACAGTTAGCTAAACTTCATAGTGGGTGTTTGCATCAGATGGAGGTACTGAGCTAGTTATTCCTTTGATGTGCAAAGCGCACATAGAAAGTCCCATTTCTCTGAACACAGTAGGAGTGAAGCACCAAAGACAGCTTCTTGGCTCACAGCTTCAAGTGTTTTTGCAGAGAACAGGTTTGTATCAGCTTTTTTTTTCAGGCACAGGCTACCAAGATTTCTTTCGTTCTCTTTCTCTCACATGGATGCACATTTCTGCCTGCATTGACATTTACTCTGCATGGCAATCCCTCTTCCTATACAGCTGCATTTTTTTAAGAGACCTTGGATGTGGTATAAATCGGGTAGTGGGTATTATGTACGCAGGGTGTTCTTTAATCGTTTCGTCACTTGGTTTGCAGGAAAGGTAGCTGTTGCTCCCGTCTGATCATGTCAGGTTTCTTCCAAACCCACCTTCACAACTCAGATAAAGGAGTTGCAGAGGCACTTCATGTTTTCCAGAGGAGATCTGGTCTTGATGCCAAGGAATTTTCCTCCCTTCTGCTAACCATTTTAAGCACTTATTTCTGCACAGCGGAGCTGCAAAGATTTTAAATGATAAATAAGATGTGACAGAGCAAGAACAACCAGACAGACATCCAGTAACGGCAGACAAAACCTCTGTTACAGGAAATCACTTCCATATCATACTTGTAAGATCTGAGAGATCTGTGCATGCTTACTATCTTAGCAGATCTGGTTTTGTCATGCAACTTTATCAACATTATTTACACTTATTTTTGCTAGTGCAATTTTTAGAGCAAAGTCTCTGGTGTACTATCATGCTAGCAGACTTGCAGTGTGCCCATGGACATTCCTTTGAGATTTAGCAGCTGAATTCACTTGCTGTTCTTCAGGAGATGTGTATTTGATTGAAAGCAGCTTTTTTCTGTACATGTTTAATAAAGTGGCAGAGTGAAGCAAAGTATGCCTAATTCATAGTTACTGAGAACCAGCAGTTAACTGCTGTAAAGTTTCATCAGTTAAGACCAAAGGGACTTAGCTGACTTACTGATGGCTTTATAGGACAGAAAGATGAATACCAGTGAATCACCTGAGGTATGCATCAAAGCAATAAAACCTTTCACTAATTTCAATGACTTTGGATTTTATCTCAGTTGTATGTGATAGTCATTTAAGAGTTTGGGAGTTGTTTTTATGCATAATACTAACAACCAGCTTCTGTCCCTTCCTCCTACAGAGCAGGATGACCTGATGTGGGGGAAGTGGAGGACAACATATTGTGGGAATAACATGCTCTGCTAGCGGAGGCAAAAAACTGTATACTGCAGTTGGATTTCCAAAATTTCAGACATATTCTACTTCCCTTACAATTGCTTTCTTTAATCAAGGAAGCAAAATTAAGCAGTATTACTAGACAGCAAAATCTGTTGGTTTTTCTTGACACCTTAAGACAGTCAGTGATCAAAATTTAAGACACAGACTTAAGGGTAACAGCACGTCAGGAGTTCTCCACAACCATGAAACGTTGTCATACAAAGCTACTGCAAGGTCAGCGTGTTATTTATGTGTTTTCCCCTCTGTTGTTCTAGGAAGCTGTGCTCTCCCCTAGTGAAAAAAAGATCTGGAAGCAAAGGGAGGTAAAGATTTATATGCCCCACTACGTAACTGCCCAACCTTCATTTAAATTAATTGTTCTTGAACTTCAATTTAACAGAAAAAATGGGAACAAATCAGAAACCCCAACCATTGCCAAACCTGAACTTTTCTGTATAGGTGAATTATCAAAATAAAGACGGATGAAGTAGTTCAGAAATGTGTTTTGACCTGCAGTTCCTCTTGTTTGCTTTATATCAGATAACTCTCTATCATTCATGATCACGAGGTGATAAACGAAAATCTTTGTTTAACCAGGTAGGCCTGGGGGCACCAACCATGTCCTATAAATGCTGCTGTGTGATGAAATACCGAGGCAAGAATAGATAAATTAGCTACTGCTGACTGAAATTGTGTGATGTTACCCTCTGTTGTATTGGGGATTTGAAGAAAAGAGAGAAAACTTGCAAGTAAAATCCTTGAGTCTCTGAGCCTGCCACGACATGAACTCGGACGTGACATGTGGAACTTGCATAGTTTCAGCCCCCTCAGTTAGTGTCATACATGTCATCTGCAAGTACAGGGTCTGCTTGGTTAGATGATTATACCAGATTTGTGTTGCTCAAGAAGAAACAGAAGCTTAATGTCTTGAAGGTTCAGCTTCGCAGCATGGCCAGGCAATCTGCCCATCAGAATTGCAAGCCTCTTTCATGCATGGCCAGTTCCAAAGTTCTGTGCAGCAGGACTCGGGAATGAAAAATGTCATCTACAATTATGCGTATTTTCATCATCTTCTATCATGCAAATCCCCCCACCCCAAGTATGCAGCAAATGTTTTGTTTGCATATGTAGGTCAGCCACAAATCTTCAGTGGTCTAACATAAACATTGGAAGCATAGGTTGATGTATACAGATTTAAACCCAGTCTGAAGTGTAACACCACTGACATTTTCCAAGTGGAGTCTGTTTACTGGATAAGTTTTCTTCTGACTTTTCATTTTATAAAGCATTGCTTTCTTACTGATTTGTGAACGTACAACTGACAGAAGATACTCACCATCATTGCAAAAGGAACTATTAACTTCAGACATGGATGGATAGTTCTTAATGAGTAACTTTTTTTTTATAATAGCTTGAGGAATGTGTTCTTTTTCAAAATGGTACATTAAAGTATTTCTGCAAATAATTCTTATTTTGCTGCTGGCAGGAGGCCAGTTTTGTATGATATTTTAAAAAGACTGTATGTTCTTTTTGCAAATTACTTGCTCCTTAATGTTCTCCTTGTCTTGGCTATCTTTAAAAAAGAAAAATATAGGAAAGAATACATTTATTGTCCTTATGATACTAGATAAAAGCTAGAAATTTTTATCCAGACTCAGTAACCAAAAAGCTTACTAGAAGAAGTCAAATTTATTATTTAAGAAAAAATGTTACTTATTAAACTCCTAAGCTTGATGTGTTTGCATGTCAAACTCATGAATTCTGTATACCACGAGTTGGCAGTACAGTTCACCTTCAGTATGAGGTGCTTGGACCAGCACATTATCATGATGTGAAACTCATACTGTTCAATTTACTCTCTGGGAAAGTGTAATTCTTAGAATTAGGTTTTCAGTGAGAATATTCCTGCACATACATGCAGAGTACCTGCTAGCACAGTTCAGGGAAACAGGCCGATCTCTGGAGTAATACTCCAGTATGTTATCCATCAGTGGTCTGCATCTGTAAAATTGCTTTATTGCCAGACTCATCCTTGGACCTGACGGTTACCTATGTGCATCACGGGAAGGCGTGTATTTGCACACACAAACATCAGGTTAACCATGTCAGGGTATAATGACCCAGTAAGTTATGATTTAGCATAAATGAGAGTGAAGTTGTTGGCCTAAGAGATGAGTAAAATACTGTACAAACAGTGTCCTTCCCCATTCCCATAAAATTAGACTAGCACCTCTGTTATATTTGATATCCTGAATTTAACTAATAAAAGTACAGGGACATTACATTAGGAGTCAGATCAGGGCCCTTACAAGGCCAAAATACTGTGATGTCAGAATTGAAACATCTCTTGAAGGTATGTGATACTGTGCCAATAAATGCACACGTATACCAATACTCTGCCAAATTCCCTCCTGTGTAGGAGAGCACACTTTGTTCTGCCCTGCCTACAAATACCACTGCCACTGTGATACTGAAAAATGATTCAGAAAAAAAATTCGTTGATATTTTTCCCAGCACAGTCCAACAGATGTACAGTTCTCCTAGATAGAATACGCATTCTTGTTCACTTGTTATCACAAGATAGTAAAAATTTGTTCTTAACAACTCCCTCTGAGCAAGGCTCTTGGGAAATAAGCTTGTGTTTAAGACCACACAGTAACTTTAAATTTCCCCTCTCCTCACAGGGGACAGATGATCTAAAGTTTCATATATTTTCTCTCCTGCTGCTAGATCCAGCTTGCAGTATTCAGTGGGAGTCATTCTCCTTCTGCTTTACCTTGCTACTTTATTACTACTGAACCTATACTTTACTCCCCTACCTTGCAGTATCTGAATACCACCTACAGTCTGACTTCATGCTGCACACTACAGACCATCTCCATTTATCTCAACATGAAATGAAGGTTTTATCCATACAATACAGTGCAAACCAGGTATCTGATGTATTACAGCTTCTCTGGTAGAGAAACAACTAGTACAGTATTAGCCTGTAAGAAATGTGGATATAGCATAATTAGATATAAAAATATTTCTCCTTTGCAATAATTTTGTTTGGTATTTCCCATGTTCCAAAGCCTCTTAATGCCTTGGCCTGTCTTAACTATTTCCCTAGCTTTCCTTCAGCACTGCTGACATTGGTGAGGATAGATTACTAATACATGTTAAAAAATGTTCATCCCGGGACCTGGCAGTAAGACAGTCAGAGTCAGGTCACCATTTAAAATCACATTCCAGCTGGCAGACACCAACATCTGGTGGTGGTTGATGAGACAACCAGGATGTGCCCTTCAATGATGGACACAGAAAAGGCACCACCTGGACAGATCAGCCTTGCTGAAATTACAGGCCCCTCTGAGCTCCTGCTGGCACAAGGAAATGCTCCCAAGTTTTTAATTAAGAATTGTCACAGCTATAAAAAAATAATGCATATCATTTAATAGTAACCTGAGAGCAATCAAGAGCAAGCTACATGACCCCAGCCTTCCTGGTCACTTCATACTGTGTGACACAACACTGTAATTAATTAATTAATTAGTTTCTTCATCACCTGCAAGGCTAAAAGGCAGAAGATAGGTATGCACTGAAAAAATGTGGGTAGAGTTAGGATTGCTGGTAAAGCTCTAGTTTGCTGTTGAAATAAGACAGTATCTTGGTGATTAAACTTTCTTCTTTATAAACTACTGCTGACTTGTGGAAAGGGTCCACATGTATGGAATCATGGTTACTGGCACATTGTGTCTCATGTCTTGGTTTCTATAAAATACCAGGGAGCATGTGAGGTGGGAATGAGACATTAACCCAGATGTTCCTAAAACCTGATCTAGCAGGGTAAAAGATACATTCACATCTCCTCCTGGTCTGAGGAGTTCCGAGTTCCGCAGTCAGGAGCTTTGTCTTGACCTTTGTATTGTAACTTGCACCTAACTAGAAGTCCCAATCTTTTGCTGCATTTATTTAAATTTTGCTTTCATTTAAATGATTTCTTCTGATACCCTGTTTCAGTCCAGCTCCGTATCAGGAGCACGACTCTAGTGGCAGCTTCTTCACGCAGAATCCTAATTATTCCTGCCTTTTATTTTCCCCCCTTCCCAAGTCCTGCATCTGAACCCGGAATCCCTTGCAGCCAGGCTGGATTTCCCAGGGCGCAGCGCCACCGCCTGCACGTTCTAAATTCCCTAAATCTCTGGTTTTGCTGCCCTTCAGACAACGGCTGGTTTAGTCACACGTTCTCAGTTTCGTTACCTCTTAACTAATATTGTGAGGGATTCATGCAACTGCTGGTGAGACTGTTCACTCCGTTATTGACATTGTAAAAGTGCTTTTTGTATTTTTCTGCTGTGCGTTTGACTCGGGCAACCTAAGAGCTTGTTTAAAACCCAGAGATTAAAGTGCCTCTACCAGCATGGTATTCAGCTGAAACTGTGCAACGCTAAATAGACCATGGTAACACCCGTCTTGGGAGAAATCTCCATCACACCCAGAGGGTTTAGGGCCGAAGGGCCCTTCAGCCAACGTGCCCCACTCTCCTCCTCAGAGCCCAGCACCGCTCTGCCAGCTGCAAACCCCGGCTTGGGCTTTCCAGGTGGGTTTTGATTAACAATAAATCAAGAAGGTACAGAAACTGATCAAGCCATACTGTGGACGGTAGTCCTGGGCATGAAGTTGGTCACTACTGGACAAGGCTGAGGAAACTCGAGATCTGAGCCGCGGCGCCGGTCCGAAGCAGAGAAGCAGGACTTTTGTCTCAGAGTAACGGCACCGGGGCCCCCCGGCTTCCATGAAAAACACCCCACCACACGATAAGGAACGGATTTAATCTCTAAGCCACGCGGGCAGGGGTATACGGCGGCAAACGCCACGGCTGTCGGACGCAGCCAGATTCCCCCCCCCCCCCCCCCCTCCGACCAGCCTGAGGCGCTGACCGCCGCAACGGGACAGCCGCCACCTACGGGGGTGATTTCCCGCCCGGACGCCGCCCACTTCCAAGATGGCCGCCCCGCGCCTTTCCGAAATGGCCTCCTGGGAAGACGCCGGCGGCTCTGCCCGCTCCCAAAATGGCCGAGGCGGCCGCACGACGTCATTGCCGGCGGGGCGGAGCGAGCGGGGGTCACCGCCTCACCGCGATTGGCCCTTCGCGCTCCCCGTCCGCCGCTCCGCTCTCATGGCAACGGGCGGGGAGCGGGGGCGGCGGCGGCCGGGCCG